AAGCTCTGTTTAGCCCTAGGAGACTTTTTAAAGTTGATAACTTCTCAGTGATTAGGTTGTAAAAAAAAAAAGTTAGCAGCATAGGTTTGCTTAAAAAGTGTTAACAGAGAAAGAAAGAAAGACTTAATAGAGAATTAAAATGCAAATTAAAAGAAGAAGAATTAAAATAAAAAGAAGAGAGGAAACTTAATGGGGATTAATGTGGGGGGAGGGGTTCAACTGGGGCCTTCTAGGGAAAAATAGAGAGAAGAAGGATACGAAAAAGTGTTGATGTTCAGAATATCAGAGCTTTTACGGTATATGCGTTTATCACTCAAACACAACGCGGATCATCTGAACACTGACCGATTGAAGAACGAGCACGTGTAGCCAATGGCAACCTTAATCAGCCCATATTGGGCATTGGTTGATGAAATGTACTACCGTGAACAATTGTGGACCGAAAAAGATCTCAAAAGAACACTTCGTGGTGTCATCTTTGCAGCTTAACCCTAAACTTCGGATACAATTTTGTTCACGGTTGTTAAAAAACGGGTGTCTCTTGGTAATTAACTTGATTATTATGTAGATAAATATTTCGTACTGATATAAACAAAACCAGGGAATGGATAGTAAAACATTGCCAGGAACCTCAGCAGAACAAACCTGAAATAAATAAATAATTAATTAATGAATAATAAAGGATTCGTTCAGTGAAATAGACAATTAAAATTAACGTGGAAGTAGAAATTACTGATTGAAAAATTCTTTTTATAAACTGATTATAAGAAATACTGATTAGATGCTTGAAGTGAAAAGGGCTGATATAAAGTATTAACACACGATTTGAGGTGAAAATACTATGCACATCATCACCTCCGCGTAAATCACGTGCATTATATTAATCAATTACAAGCAAACAAAAACTTCTCTCCTCCCTACCCCGAAAAACAGCTATAAACGTTTAACCACAGCCTCTGGAATGCCTGAAAAAAAAATTCAAAACAATGAAAGTTGTTAGTTTAGAAATGAAGAAATTTCAACCCGCGTCACATTTTTAAAGAAATCTTTTATACCCTTACTTAATTACTTGATTACTTACTTACTTAATTATTATTATTAGTAGTAGACGTAGTTGGTAGGTAGTTTGGAGGTTATCTCTATGTGAAAAAAAATTCTCCTCCCCACCAAAAAAAAAACAGTTACGATAATTTTAAATAAAGGAAAACGAATTTATAAGACTTTACACCATAAAACTACTAATGGAGGCTACTTCATGAATTCAAATTTATCGTAATTATCACAATAAGGAAGATCCCTCCCTTAATCGTTTGTGTGTACCCTTACTGCGTGTGCGCTCAGTAATAACAGACAAAACAACTGTAGAGTAAGTGACTACTGTTACAACTTTACGACTTTACGTACATTCAGCAATCTTGGACGATTATCCCAATTTTTCTTTTGATGATCTTTGCGTGAGTGTCCTTAAGATATCAGCTAGTCCTGCCGCGAGATCTTGCTGATCATATTTTTTGCTTACAATCACGTTTTTCTTCTCCAATTGTGAATTTATCCGCAAGCCTCGACAGCAATTACCTACAAAATGTATAGATAATAATGTTCTCTGCAGCTCTTTTTAAAGTTTTACCATATTTTTCTTCCATATTGCGCTGCGATTTGGTCATGACAATCTTTTGCCTCATTTCTCTCCTCGAAAAAGTAGAAAACAAGTAACTTCTATTCGGGAGTAAAAATGCGGGAATTTGTGTGGTGCAAAAGTGTGCTTGCAAAATTGCTGTTCAACAAAATTGCTCAATTC